GTATAGCTTATTAGAATGAACTCCCGCCACACTATTTCTTTGGTGGCAATATTTGATGACAGTGCAATAATGGACTAATAGTGGAAGAACTGAAATACAGGCGATCGTCTTAGAATCAAGGTAAGCTCGACCTTCACAATCATACATTTAGAAACGCACTACATTTTCAACGAGAACGAATCAACAATCATTAAAAATTTTCTTTAGTGTCATATGCTGCATATTACAACCGGTGCAATTGTTCCCTCATTTTTCTTCTTCGTATTTTACTTCAACTCTACAACTATTACCTCAAGACACTAATCATTCGTACTATACTCATAAGTTCAATTGCATAGGTAGGATGGCGCTTATTTGGCGACTGTCGGAGCAAAGCATCAAAGAAATGAATCAGCCTTTCATATATTTTTAAGTCAACCAAGCATCATGCAAATATACTTACCACCGATGACACCGCAGGCCCAACGATCACCAGCATTACCAGTGGTCTTGGAGAGCTCATGGTTACCCTTACCGAGATCGTCTTCACCAGCGTGAACGACAAGAGTGCGTCTATTACAAAATAGGTGAAAAACACGTCAGAGACCATATCGATAGCAGTGGTCCGCCGTGTCAAAAGGCGATTTTCTGTAAAGCGTTCATTCGCTTACCCAATGACGGACTGGGGTCCAATAAGCTTAACCAAGTTGTCTTGGGTCTTGAAAGAAGCCTTGCCTTCGGCGTCAGCAACAACGTTACCAAGATCACCAACGTGGCGAACAGAGTCTTCGGGAGCACCGTGAGTCTGGCCGAAGGGGTTGAAGTGAGAACCAGCGGAAGTACATCCTTAAAACAAGAAGAGTCAGTAAAGAAAAGAGAGAAGCGCGCATGCGTATAGAAGCTTGGACGTATGCCTACCGTTAGTGTTGTCACCGAACTCGTGAACGTGGAAACCGTGCTTTCCAGGCGTCAAACCAGAAACGGAAGCTTCAATGAAGGTGGGAGCAGATTCGCTTTCTTGAGTGAAAGTGATAGTACCAGTGACGGGAGAGTCTCCGCGAATAACAGCAACAGCCTTGACCATTTTGATATGTATTTAAAGTGTAAAGAGAAGTTTAAGACCACTTTAACCGCGCCAACTTATATGCGATGCAGCAATTTTGCTGGGGGTTTACGTCACTCACCCTGGATCGGCGTTTTTGCAGCCGTGAATGATGAATCAGCTTTTTTGCACTCCACTCCCGAGGGCGGAGGCACCCCTTTTTAGTTCTCTCCACATCCAATGTCGCTCACTGCAACAAGAAGACTGGTTCAGATATCAGAACATACTTTTATTCGACCTATAACAACAAAATCCTCATCTCCTTTGGATTCTCGAAGCCGTAGCTTTTACCGTCATTTTTTGCCAATCCAAACACGTTGGTCAGATAACGACCAATACGGTCATGTCAATAATTCTGTATTTTACCATTACATTGATACTGCGGTCAATAATTACTTGATCGACAGATGTGATCTTCAACCTCTATCTACTACTTCTCCCATCGGTCTCGTTGTTACAAGCTCTGCCAATTTTTTTAAGCCCATGTCGTTCCCTGCTGTCATCGAAGCTGGTCTTGCAGTCACCAAGATCGGGAAGTCCAGCGTTACATACAAAGTCGGCATTTTCGAGCGAGGAAGTCAACAAGCTAGCGTTGTTGGCGGATTTACACATGTGTTCGTGGAACCGAAGCATCGCAAGCCTGTTCCACAGCTACCATCGGCTATGAAGGCAGGCATGGAATCCATTCTGGTAGAGGAGACTGACTAGTAGACGGGTTACCATATTGGCACAAACACATGAAAATTACTAGTGGGAATCGTTTAATTTCCAACATCTCAACAATTCAGTATGTCAAACATTTGAATATTTTTTTCCAGCACTGTTTATTTCGACAAATGATGCTACATCCATCCTAACAAAGGATTTTCTAATCGCACCAGTTGCTCACAGGCAGACCTAGATAAACACGCCATCAATACAAATTCGATATTTAAACCCCCCACCCCATTTCCGTCGTGTTAACTTACATGACAAATATTTGCAGTTGGGACAGATCTGCGAAAGTAATAGATGTAACAAATGAATACAACTAGAGTTCACGATAGAATAAACATCTTTGATTTCACTCACCTGGCTAGGATCCGGAACAGAATAAAATTCTTTGATGGTCACTACGAATAGCACAATCAAAAACACTAGAGCAATGACTCGGGCGACCCATGTAAACATGATGAATCTTCGAGTTGCTCTCTTGCGGTTAGGTATGAGCATGACTCCTGCCACGATGCCAACGATGAAACCGCCTATGGAATGCAAAGATCAGCATGTATTCATCCGATTCACTCTGCAATAAACTTCGACATACCTAGATGGGCAAAGTTGTCTAGACCGGGCAATAACCCAAGAGCCAACGAAATCAAAGTTGTAACTGCCAGTTTCATCATTTCTCTCCAAGGGTTGACAGTATCCCGCCAGTTTAACAGAATATCAACAAACATGAAACCAATAAGGCCAAACAAGGCACCAGAACATCCCATGGAAGCTATTGAGATGCATTAGTTAATGAATTGCAATGGTTGCTATCACCCCGTACACAGCGAAACTTACGTCTAGATGGAGATCCAAATAAAGCACCAAATACAAATCCCCAAATACCTGCTGCCATGTACAAAATAGCATACCGAATAGGCCCTAATTCCTGCTCAAGCTGAGCTCCCAATCTCAGTTGCGTGAGCATGTTCATCAGATAATGGATGATACCAGCATGGATAAATATTGGGGTGACAAAGCGGAAAGATTGATCTGGCACGTTGGGATCCTTAAAGCCTCCAAGTCCACAAATCTGTTCCAATGTACAAGTTGTTCCTTCGACAAAGCAAGTGCTAAATTGCTGGCTAGCTGGAAATTGTGGTATAGGCCTAATGCAACCGACAAAGCGAGCACCAAGGTTGATTAAAACCTATTAGAAAGACAGAAATTCCAATTAATTACATTTTTAAAACAGGGAATTTAGTTTTTTAAAAAGAGAAAGGTAACTTACCGTAGACGAAGGTCCGATCATTGGATTGAAAGGTTGCGTTGCTGTTTGGGTTTGGATAACTGAGCCTGTCAAATTTTTATTTTGAACAAATTCGTAGATCAATACAGCTGCCATGGCCAGTGCAGTAGACCAGCTGAAGATGGGTATACGAGTAGGACCCCATATCCATGCAATGGGGCCTGTTCGCGGGGCGGCGTGATATGGTGGGTCAGCGGACTCTAGTCTCATAAAGCCTTGATTTGGCATATTTCTATCCATTGGTTTCAGAAGACCTGATGTTCCAACCATATTCATACTGTCACGACGGCGATCATCATCTTCTCCTATCTTTGGACCATAGTCATGACGGTCTTGTGAATATGGCATATCATTGTACTGATTGATATCTGCGTTTTTTGACCGTGGCGAATAATAGCCCGCTGCGCTGTGTGTTGGAACGGAAGGAGGGGATGAAGCTGATGCGCCAGATGTGTCTGTATATGGGTATGCTGGAATGACAGAGGGTGATCGATCTGCGAAATGGGGATGTCTTTCCTCATGAACCGGCGAAGAAAACTGTTGAGCACGATTTTGTACCGGTGTGCCAAGAGGGATTTCAGTTTCAAAGCTATCGCGATATGGGCTGCTATGTGGTGGTGCTGTGGCTATTGGTGATGGATAGTTGTAATCATATTGCCCATATGGTTGACTCATCTAGACGTTGTCAGTAGAAATATAAAAAATAGGTACGCTTTGCGGGGCCTCTAGTAACAAAATTCTTTTATTAGCATCCATCTCAGCCGACTCCGTTGAACAGCAAACCACAGCCTCATGCTTGACCATCAAATGTTTTAGTTTTCAGCCACATCCAACCAAGCAGTTCGTTTCTGAGTGTTCCAAAAACTCATTTCTTAGTTTTGAATTTTGGCTGATGATAGGCTGTTATAGGCCATTATAAAAAAATAATATTAAAAACGGCGCTTTTCTTGGCATCGATGTCGTCCTAAAGGGTTGCACTTTCCATACATCGGAGTTTTGCCGGGCCTCTGAAAAGATATCATAGAATATGATATAACTTGGCATAATCTACCGAACGTCTATGAACGCAAATGCTACGGACGAGCGAATGGCGACGAAATAAAAAGATACTCGATTCATGCTATATTGATAACTTTACCCATGTCTCTACCTCTCGAACCTTTAGTCTAACGAAAAGATGTTATCATAAAAATGCGAGTCGAATAGGAGTATGGGTAACAAATTCTTTACTAAATTGTCATTGGACGCATTGAAATAACGAGGTTTTTTTTTGGTTTTTCAGCATTAGTCTCAAAGATTGCGTTATTTTGCTCATTATATTCAGCTTATACATAAAATAAACGAAATCAAGTTGTTGGGCTGACGAATTATTGTAACCATAACCATCAAGACATATGATACATCTTAAGTCATTAGATTCAAACTTGATAGTGCCAAGTTTATTGAGAAGCCCCTACCAATTGATATACATAAAATGTGCTACAATGAGTCGACAAGATGAATAGCGAAAAATCGAAGCATTTTAATGGTACAGGACTTGGAGCCGAGAATGAAAGACAACAAAAGCGTGTGGCTTATTTTAGCGTCTATTGTATTTTTTTTTTTTTTTTTCTATTTTCTAGAATGGAAACCACGCCAAAATACCGAATCGAAAAATAAATAAGTCTGAAAGGTGAAGAGCAACCTTTCGATTTTTTTGGTGTGGGTCTGTTTGGGCTCATTCCAACGTATACAAGAAACGTCTCAGTACTGTATTTAAGTCAGAAGTACCAATACAGCTTTTAAATGCAACATCGCCCATATTGAATAAAAAATAAGAAACCACCTCCCCATGACTGGATCTTTGTAAAGACGGAAGTAATAGATCAAGGCTCTGAGGATTCCAAAAATTGATAATGCTGCCTCCAAAAAACAAAAAATGGGCTTCGCCGGGAATTGAACCCGGGACCTCCCGCACCCTAAGCGGGAATTATACCACTAAACCACGAAACCCTGTTATGATTTGAAGACCACTAATACTTTTCTATTCACAATGTAAATTATGACATATGTATATTCATCAATGAATGGTTTGTTACATGGCTGATTATCACAGTAATACGCCAATAAACAATAAGAAAGTATGTGTAGAAACAAAAAATGGGTTTTGCATTATAATGCGGTAAGGTTTTCAACGCTACGCAGATATTCACTCCTGCTAAATCTAATTTCCGAGTTCTGAAAATCTCAACCTTTGAAGTTACGCACAACAGTATGACGAATACGTAAATCGTAGGGATGAAATTGTAGTATCAACATGATTCAAAAACATATGAATTTATTTTGATACACGAATAATGCTAGTTTACGAAATGAAGATTAAAATGCAGAATGCTAACTGTATAATACATTTTGTTTTGAATTGGTTTCTTTAAATAAACCGCAAGATCACTGGGTAGTGAATACCCAGCGAGTGCCAACAAGTTTTTGTTCTATTTCAACTGGTGGCAATGGCCAACCTTTAGGTCCAAAGCTTGGAACAACCCATGACTTCTTAACCGTCTTCTTTTCGTTCATGAACTTGGCTACTGGGAATTCTAGAGGCTTTCCGTACGTACACATTGCTTTCCCAATTTTAGCAAGCCATTTCGGTTCCACTTTTGTCACACCTTTCAACCACACTTTACTGCTCTTAAATTGCTCGTTGTACGCAACAAAAAGAGGAGCTGGTTGATGGTAAAGGACGGAAGATGGGTGTATAAATACATCTTCGTCGCTCCACATGACTCTGTACGGGACACCACGTGTGCTCTTGAATTTGCTGCCTTCACTTCCACCGCTTTCAATATAATCTTTGCGTACAGCAATAGAGTCTATAAAACCTGCGGTAAGGATCTGTCGCAGAACTTTAAGTTGTAATGTAGATGGCGGCTGCATTTTAGGGTCAATCGAGACATCAACACCATCGCAATTGGCCACAACCAAGTTTGTCAGTTGTCTACGAAGTTTTCTAATTTCCTCCATCGCCTATACAGAAAATGGTTTAGCCAAAAAGTTGGTCATCCTATTTGTTTGCAAACAGATATCTTTACCTTGGGACGAACGAAATTCGTTTCGCAAAAGCTTTGGGTTGCACCAGCATATTCATAGGCACCAACTACGTTGAGTAATTTTATAATGTCGCTTGTAGGGTCCAATCCAGCATGTTTCTGTTGAAAGTGCACATTTAGGGGAAATCAATAGTACCGCGATTGCCAAACCAAGCTTACTTACCATTTGGATTTGGTAATATTTACTTCTTGTCAACTTCCTACGCTCCTTCTCAGCAACACTTTCGTTACGAATATTGTGAAGTTCCATTTTCTTCACATCGGTTGTACCATTCTCATCGTCGCTATCGCTCTCCTCGTCTGCAAGGTCGTTCAAGTCGCTATCTCGTAAGACTGGATCCCCGACAGAAAGGGCAGAGACAATGGCAATCACAAAAGGCAAGCAGCCGTGCTGTTGACCGATGATGAGCATCTTGGCAAATTTCGGGATGATGGGGAAGGTGGCCATTGACCTTCCTAGATCAGTGATGCGTTTCTGATCACGGTCAATTGCTCCCAGATGTGTCAAGATCTAGAAGGGTTGCGGGGATATGTGTCAGTCGCTGAGAACCTATACACCATCGTATATATATATATAGTTGGTTTGAATTTCACATACCTTTTCAGCTTTCATCAAATTGGCCTTTGGTGGAGGTGTGGGAAATGGAAAGTTAACCACGTTATCAATATACATTGATTTCATTGAGAGGATGACACCTAACGAGAAGTCGGTTAGCAAATTACAGCGAAGCTGAAAGGTATCACCTAGTATCATCATTACCTTCGATTGGCATGCGATTAATTTCAGGAACAGAAAACTGTGAAAAGTAATTGTCGAAGACCGCGGAAGAGTATAGTCGATAACAGTGGCCAGGACCTGTTCTACCAGCACGACCTGCGCGCTGATCCGCAGATGCCTTTGATGTCCAGTCCACGTCGAATGATTGAATGCCGGTGCTAAGATTATATTGCCTCTGTTATGGTAATGAAGAAGAGTCAGCTTATGCCAAACTTCCATCAGAACATTACCACACATCCTAGTACATACCTCCTTCACTTTGCCTGCATCGACGACATATCGAATACCAGGGATAGTAACAGATGTTTCCGCTACATTAGTAGCAACGATACAAAGACGTGTTCCTTCAGGAGGATCTTCAAACACTCGCATCTGAGCATCAGTGGGTAGCAAGGAATACAACGGGAGAACGTGCAAGGGAGCTGGACAAGAGACGATTAGATTGTGTCATTTTACACGCCAGTCAATAAATGCAACCCACCATCAGTATCTTCTTCTTCATTTGGTACGTCATCTTCGCCATAAAATCCAAGCTCATCATCGCTATCGTCTTCTTCATCACTATCAGGCAGGTCAAAGTCTTCAATTTGCTCTACAGAGTCACCCAGCTCAATCTCCTCAGCTTCAACATCCTCTGCATTGAATGGGTTAATATAAATATCTTCCATCTCATAAATCTTCCAGAAAGCATACCGTTGCGTGCTGAAACTGTCTCCGTACGAGACTCTGCTTCAATCGACGCCTTTTCTTTGGCAACCTCTACTTTCGAAGCACGCTTTGGCAGCGTAGGAAACCGCTGACGAAGCTTTTTACAAAGATTAACGATCTCTTGCTGTCCAGTCAAAAAGACAAGAATTCCTAAAATTCCGAGTTAGAATGATTGTATGCAAACTATGTGACTAAGAAGCTGTCTAACCTCCTGGTGGCAACCTCTTGTGGATCTTGCCGATTTTCTTGTAGGCTTCATCAACATAGTCAACTTCGGGTGTGCGCTTATTAAAGTGAATAGATACCTATACGATCTGTGAGTCAGAGAGGGTCCATGGTAAGGTAGCCACATCTAATCTTTTTCCTACTTACTGGATATTGTCTGGCATCAACTTTAATAACAGGTGGTGGGTTGTCAAACAAAGACTTATTTTGAGTAAAGTCAGTGACTCTAAGTGTTGCTGACATAATGACTACGCGGAGTGGCTAAAGTTGGCTTTGGTTATAAACTCTCCTAACCATACACATTGCCACGATTGCAAACATCCAAAAAACCAACATACCTTTATCTTCTCGCGATCTTGTTTGCTCAGATTGGCTCTCAGTTTGAGAACTCGACTGATGACACCAATCAAGATATCAGTGTTCAAGTTTCTTTCATGGGCTTCATCAATAATAAGAACGGAATATTTGGTAAGCAGGAAATCTGCAGCAAGTTCTCTCAGAAGGACACCATCAGTCATGAATTTAATTCTTGTATTTTTGCTGGTGGTTGTATCATAACGAATCTGATGACTGACTTCATCGGTGACGTTCAGTTCATGCGAAACACGACTAGCCATGCTGACAGCAGCGACACGGCGTGGTTGGGTAACACCAATGAGGCCAGGATTGACTACAAAAATCGAGTGAGACCGGCAGTTGGGGAGTCAAAGGAAAAAGATAAAAGCTTACCACTATCTGGATGGGAGAATCCTGCCTCATACAAAAACTGTGGGACTTGTGTTGTTTTACCAGAACCGGTCTCACCACAAATGATAACCACGGTGTTATTTCTGATGGCTTCCATAATGACTTGCTCTTCACCGCACACCGGAAGCTTCAATCTTGCGGCCTGAATCTCTGGCTTACGCTTGACAGAGACATAGAAAGGCTTGTAGTCATCGTGGCTCAGGTCTCCGCCTCTGTTTCGCTCTAACAACAGCTTTTTGATTTCATCGTCTTCCTCCACAACTCGAAGTGTGACTGGTTCCTTTACACCTTTTACTGCCTCTACAGCCTGCTCCAACGCAGTCGGACCATTGTCTATATCTTCTTCAGCTTGGCTCTTGGGTTTCATAGCAGGTTCACTATCGCTCATGGCATCGTACTCTGAGTCAGAACTATCGAAGGAAGAATCGGTATCGTCTGCTTTTGACGGCCTATGCTTCTTACGAACTGCTTCTGGGATAGTAGACTGCAAATATGAAATGGATTGGGTCAGATTCATGAGAAAATGCCTGATTGTTGAGCTTTTGATAGGAAGTACCCACCTTCTTCTTCTTACGCTTCCTCTTGACAAGCTCAGCAGATTGTCCATCTGCTGTCTGCTTTAAGGCACCACCAATTACTACTGGAGTTTGAGTATCCTGAGGCACATTGATAGCTACTGCAGTTGTTTCGTCTGTTTCCACTGGCTGTATGTTTACTTCTGTCAATGCAGTGGACCGTTCAACTGATAAATCACCAGCATCAGCGTCTTCTTCTACTGTAGCTTTTTTTCCTTTCTTCTTCTTCTTTGATCCACTAACTATCTCAACATGCTCGGGAACAACGAAGTTTGCGACATCTCCATGCTCGGACTCAACAAGGAGTGGTATATCAGAGTTGTCATTGTGGATGCCAGCCTTTTCTTCATTGAGTGCTCTTCGAAGCTTTTCTCGCATAGTTTCTTTGTTTTGACCAAGTTTGCGGGATGAAAGTAAAAGTTCTGATGACCATGCAGACGACCTAGAATGAAATGTCAGCAAGTGGATTGCATGGTTGTGGACGTAACAAGCGAGTACATACGAAAGCTTTTCGAGCAAACCTGCTCTAGCATCTTTCTTCAGCTTTTGCTCCTGTTGACATACGTAAGTCAGAACTTGCGCTTACGAGTAAATCAAAGGAAGGTAGAATTATCACTTACTATGTATTTATCCAGCCTCTTCTTCTTCTTTGACGACATTTTGACCACTGGAGCCTGAAGCCATAAAAATTTAGAGTCATGCACATGATGAAAAGACATACAGGAAAGAACATACCTCAGCATCATTGGATTCATCTTTTTGCTTTGGTACATATATAAGAGAGTTTGTGTCCTCACTATTAAATAAATTTTAGCTGGCTGTTAGGTGGTTCTGTTGAAGGTATACCTTTCACTTACATGTCAGATTTAC